ATAGGAAGATTTGGGAAGAAGCAGGCTTGGGATAGGGAAGGAGATCAAGAGTTCTCCTTTGGACATGTTAGGTTGGGGTGCCTCTAAGCCAAGTGGACATGTCAGGCAAATCAGTCTGAAACTCAGGGGAGAGGAATACTTTTTTAAAAAAAATACTCATTTTCATAGAAGAGTGGAGGGGACGATGGGGAATGTAGACAATTATTTTGCGGAGGAGTAAAGCATTAGGGAGAACGAATGACCAGGAAGTGGGAAGCAGGCTTTACAGGAAAGTGAGAGGTCAAAGACAGAGTGGAATGCTTTTGAGAATCATTAGCATAGAGATAGAACTTAAAGCCACGTGACCAGATGAAACCAACTAGGGAGAAGACACAGCTAGAGAAGACAGTCAGAGACTAGTCTCTGGGGCACTTCTCATTCATGGTTAGAAGTCAAGCAGAGAAAGAGGCTTGAGCAAAGGAGACTGAGAAAGAGTAACTAGATAGGTGGCAGGAAAACATGAGGACCAGGCAAATGTGGTGGAGGGGAGAGGCAAGGGAATGGCTGTGATGGGCCATGGAATCTGAACTGGATAATATGGATGTAAGGACATGTATGTGGGGCCCGGGATGATGAACAGTGAAAAAGTAGCAAGGTTACAGGAATGAAGGTCACTGGAAGGGGGGGTGGTCAAAGAGTTGTTGGTGTGGGGACAGATACGAATAGGAGGTCAGAGCTAGAAACCTAAAGCAGGGATTCAGTGGTGGTACAGGAGGGCAAGAGCATGACTGGGGGCCAGCGCGGAGGTGTGATGGGGAAAGAATCTGTTACAGGCGATCAAAGAGCTGGGCATGGTGGCCCCTGCCTGCAGTCCTAGCTACTCAGGAGGCCGAGGCAGGAGAATTACTAGAGCCCAGGAGTTTGAAACTGCAGTACACTGTGATGGCACCTGTGAATCGCCACTGCTCTCCAGCCTGGGCAACATAGTGAGACAGCGCCTCTTAAGAGAAAAGTGATTGACAATCAGGTGGCCTGGGTTTGGAAGGGGTGGGTGGTGAATGGTTTAAGAATCCACTGGATAGAAAGGCCTGGAAATACAAACCCCTCTTTCTCACCCCTTACAAGGATTATCCTTTTTCACCTAAGGGGGCTTGAGGAGTTTGAAGCTGGTCAATTGCCCTCACCCTCAACACTTCCTGTCTGAAACTCAAGGCCTGGATGGACTCTCCTTAGAAGCAAGAGAGGGCACAGTCCTGTCTTCGGTGAGGCTGCTGCTAGGTTCCTGGACCCTCAACCCAGGGAGTGAGCAGGGTCACCACAGCTAGCAGATGGCTGGGCCTTGACTTCCCTGGATTTCTAGTCTCAGGAGTATTCAAAGTCACCATGTAGAAACATCCAAGTGCTGCCTTCCTGTCCCCTTGGCTGGAGCAGTGGGTTTCCCCTGCTGCCTTCTGTGACGCCCTCTAAGTCCAGGTCTTATTTGTGGGCAGAGCACACAGAGAGGGCTACTAATCCCTCCAACTGATGCAGGAGTGTCTTGGCCAGAACTTCCACCTGAGCCTTAGGTACTTGAAACATTACAGCCAGAAGACACCCTATGTCTTAGGCACCCACTGAATCTGTTTTCCAATCTGTTAAAAGAGGAGATTGAGCTAGATGATAGATGAGGCTCCCTCCAGCTCTTGATAGTCTAGAGTCTAGTTCAAATGCCCTATTTTATATCAAGATGAGGGAGCAGGGGCCGGGGGAGGGAAAGTGACCCACTCCTAGAACTGGATTAGTCAGACAGGCAGCTCTCTGGGCAGGGAGTGCTTCTTTCTTGTACATTCTTTATTATTACATCCTAACACGGTATTCATTAAATGAATATCCATGCAATGACATTGTTTTCCTTTACTGAGTGGAGATTTTGGTGAAAATGGGGTGAGAGAAAGTTATATTAGAGGAGGAGCTTTGGCTCCTTCCGTTGAAGGACAGCATTTGGTGAAAGGAGCACACCAAGAGGAAAGAGAAGGGGAAGGTGGCAGCACACCACATTCCTATACAGCCAGCCCTTAGTTCCCTCCAGCAATGACTGTTCCTCACCTCACCCTGACGTCATTTTACATCTCCGGCATTCTCTGTACTCTTCTGCTAATGGAAACTGCATCTCTTCTTAAAAGCTAATCCAAGTCCCAATTTCCCATAACAAGTTTCCACAAATCCAGAGCAAAATGAAAAAAATATACACATGAATTTGTTACAACCATTCCTACACTTAATTAGCTTTGGCTGGTATCTTTTCCTGCCTTTTTGCTTTCTGTGTGATTGTTTCTTGTAAACTGCATAAAGCTAGATTGTTTCCTAAAAATCCAACCTGAGAAACTGTCCCATATTATTGTGGGAACGCGTCTTAACCTTTGTCTCGTTTCCTTATCTGTACAACAGGGTTGTTGCGATGACTGAGTTAACACTGGCAAAGCCCTTAGCCCTGGCATGTACTACACACTTAATAAACACTGGCTACTCTTAAGAGTTCAGTTTAATCATTTACAGGGATAGTGATTATTGATATACTTGGGGTTATTGGACCATCTTATTTCGTATTTTCTATTCACCATGCTTTTCCTTGTTCTTCTAATCTTTTCTGCCTCAGTGGTTTTATCAAGTTTTCCTGAAACCCATTTTCTGGAAACAGGTGTTCACTAAGAGTTGCCTTTAAAACCTTAAAATGGAGTCTTAAGAGTTCAAAGTAGGTCGATGCCTCCCAAACAATATTAATACCAAGAGCCTCAGAATACCTTGATATTCTGATCTTCCATGTCTCACATGATTATCTACTATTTTATTTCCACCTTGTTTTAACCACTCTCCACTCCCCATCCCCAAATCTATATTTACTTAAAACTTACCAGTGTGTTTACCAACGTATTTACTCACCACTGCTTTTTGTACACCACTCCTTTCTTCAGGGTTCCATTCCATTTTTAGTAAAGAGCACCCTTTAGTAAGTATTTTGGCCCATCACAACTTAACAAAGAGAAATCTGGATCTCTGAATGTATCTTGCATGAAGGACAAGCTGAGCTGGTTTAAAACAGAACCATCCCACAGTTCATCACTACGATATTCTTTTACTTTGAAAAAAAAGAAAAAAAAAAAACAAAAAAAAAAAACAGCCCTTGACCAGGTTATGACTTTTAGCATTTATTCAACTATTTTCCCTTTCTGGATAGAAATCAGCAATGGTCCCAAAATACATCTAGACAAATATGCTTCTATGAAGACTGTATTCTACAAAACTGTGACAAAGTGGGTAAGAATAGTCTCTCGACAATCAGATTTGGGCCTTACATTATGCTACCATAATGGTTCTCTTAGCCCCACCCCCTTCTTTAGGTTTTTAACCTAAGTAACACAATACCATGTATTGCAAGTAGGAGACAAATTATTCTATGTAGATGTCATGCTTTCAGAAATTCATTACTTATGTTGCCAAAATGTTTTCAGTAGATGATAGTCTTTAACATTCAAATAGTTATATTAAAATAGCTCATTCAGTAATGTTCCCTAGAAAGTGCATTTTGCAGTGAAGACTTATTAGGCATGAGAAAGTCAGTGCTGTTCAAAATCAGCTATTACATAAAAGATATGATACAATTCTTTTAAGACCGTGATGCAGTTCTTACGTGACCCAAATGGAAATAAACGTCATGTGGAATCCTGGGGTTTCAACTATGTGCTTGTAATTCCGAAGTTATATTATGGGGACCAAAAAAATTCCCTGCTTGCTGCCTACCTGACTCTCATTCAAGAAAAGACATTTACAATAGAATGTCAGCCTTGCCGTCTATTCATTTGACACCAAACCAGCTGGCTTCTTTGGAGAGCACTAGAGTAAGAGCAGCTCTAGAATCTTGCCAGAAAATGTATCCAGCTGCTATCCAAGGACCGGGTGTGAAATACTATAGAAGTTATTTCTTAGCCATTCCCCTGAAAGACCTTAAATACAAGTTGAGTATCCCTTATCTAAAATGCTTGGGACCAGAAGTGTTTCAGATTATGCATTTTGGAATATTTGCATCATAATTACCAGTTAAGCATCCCTAATCCAAAAAATCTGAAATCCAAAATGCTCCAGTGAGGGTTTGAGTGTCATGTCAGCACTCAAAAAGTTTCCAATTTCAGAGCATTTCCGATTTCAGATTTTCAAATTAAGGATACACAACCTATTGTATATCTCTAATTTGAAACTAGGGATAACTAGAACCTATCTAACTTTCTATTACATTAGAACACGAAAAGTATTGTTGGTCTTTGTTTGTTTATAATTCCATAGAATTGTTTTGTTTTAGTCCCTTTCAATTTTGGACTCTCAGCTTTGATAGTTAAATGAAAGCCTTGCATTTGCTGTGACATTGACACTGATGAGCTCCAATGTGATTCTTAAAACCCATTAAGACCCAGAGAAAAAAACTCCTTCAGAATACTTTGCTATCCTGTTTTGAAAACCTGGCCATATATTTTATTAAAAGCTAAGGTCCCAATAATTCTAGTTCCGAGAATATAATCTAAGGAAGTAATCATATACATGGAAAAAACTATATGCACCATGATGCCTTCTAAATTATTTGTAATTGGAAAAAACTGGAAGTAACCTAAATGTCCAAGAGTAGAATGTCTGTGCCAAATGGCACACGATCCGGATGGATTGTTATACAATCATTAAATAGAATTGATAATGCACTGTGGAATCTATCTGTGACAAATTAAAGCACTGTGTGTGTGTGTGTGTGTGTGTGTGTGTGTGTGTGTGTGTTTATGGAGGTGATCCTGGATAGGTGATACGAAATTCTGACTTGTCCAGCTTCTCTTGATACTATTGGGAAGTTGGCAGACACACAGGCACTTACTAGCATGAGCTGACTTCCATAATTTTACTTCAATATTTTGTATTTTAGAACCAAAGGAGTCAGAAGATGCACACATCAGTTCCTGGGTGTCCATTCGTACTGCCAGAAGAAAATACTACAGACTGGGTAATTTATAGACAATATAAATTTATTTCTCACAGGTATGGAGGCTGGGAAGTCCAAGATCAAGGCACTGGCAGATTCCAGATTCGGCGTCTGGTGAAGACCGCTCTCTACTTCCAAGATGGTGTGTTGCTGCTGAGTCCTCCAGAGGGAACGAAGACTGTGTCCTCATGTGGCGGAAGGGATGGAAGGAAACAAAACCACTCCCTCAACCCCTTTTAGAAGGACCGTGACCCCATCTATAAGGGCTCTGCCCTCACAACTTAATCACATCCTAAAGTTCCCACCTCTTGTTAAGTTTCAACACATGAATTTTGGGGGAGACAAGGATAAGGAAAGAACATGGTGATTAACACTGTCCCCCTGGACTGATTTTCAAGCTTTTTTATGGCAAGAGTTTATAGGCAAAAACAAAATCCCTCCACTGTATGTTTGATAGTGCCATGAACCTCTCTTTTGTTGCACTCATCACAGTTGTACATTAATCTATATAATTACTTAATGCTCATCTTCCCTTCTGGTCTACAAGCTTCATCAGGGCAGGACCTGTCTTTGTTTTGCATATTACTTGACATATAGTCCTAATAGTTGAAGGAAGGAAGGAGAGGAAGAGAAGAAAGGAAAGAAGGGTAAGGGGAAAGAAGAAAAAAAAAGGGTGGGGGGAGAGAAAGAAGAAAGAGGGAAAGGGGAAGAGAGAAGAAGCAAATTTTTGCACAGGACGCTGTGGTCCGGGTGACAGTAAGTACACTAGCAAACCGGGAAAGCACACTCCCATTTCCACTTGGAACACAGCAAGGCCAGGAGACTGAAATGGACAGGAAGGCAGGGCTGCCCTAGCACTTGGCAGGTTTGCATGTTGGGGCTGTATTGGGGATGGTGTCCTAGGCAAGGTAGGACTTTCCAGCAGGACCAGCCGCAGTGCACGTGACAGAGCAGCAGTAAGGAGGGCAGATGCTGGTAGAAGTCTGTCAGGGGAGCAGCAACATATGCAAGCATGGACTTGTATCTGTATTCTGAATATCTGAACCTGGGGATACCCAGAAATACACAGAAGGAATGGAGAAATGCCCCCTTTAAGGTCTCAGTGCAGGTAGGGAGCATAAAATCAGTATCATGGGTGTTAATATAAATACTTGTTTACAGCCTCAGATAGTTGTTCTTAAAGATGTCTAAAAAACAGACTAAAAACCAAAAAAAAATTATTGAAATGGTAAAAAAAAAATGTAATGGTTGTGGTTTTCCCTCTTATGTCCATACTTTTAAAATATGTACATAACAGAAGTGTTTCTCATTTGAATCACTGCTACTTTCTTTTATCGGATGCGAAGAAGTTTGAAATTCATTGTTTCTGGGTTTTTTTTCCCCAGTTCTAGCTTTTTCTATTTTGTCTATCCCTGTTGACATATCAGTCTTTACCATACGATTTTGTTTTTAAAGGCGAACCTCCCTATATTATATACATGGTCTTACGTGTATGAATTCTTTCATTAGGTCGAAAAAAAGACGAGTGTAGAGGATGAAAGGATGGCTTGGCATACTAGGCCATCTAAAATGCATCCAGCAGCTCACCCGCACCCCCACAAACCATAAGCATCACTGCCATTCTGAGCTGACGTTGATGGGAGATGTTATAACTTTGAGGGGAGTGAGGAGGTAGAAAGAGTTAATAACCAGTGAATTACTGTAAGTTTGGTGAGAACTGTATTTTCACAAAAGGTTAATTTTAGAACCAGAAGTTTATCAGTTTCAATTCTGGATCTACCACTTACTCTAAGTTCCTTAATCTTTGTCAGATGGATATAAACATACATTTCTTTCAATGTATGAATATTAAACATATGCTAAGTGCTAACAGATAGTGCTCAACAAAAGCTCTTTAGACCTTATTTTTCAGGTAGACTTGGGAGTTCCTTTACATTACAGGTTTCTCAATCTTGGCACAACTGATATTTTAGACTGGATAGTTCTTTACTGTGGAGTGTTCTGGGCTAAAGTGTGCCCCCCAACCCCTGCCACTAAATATGTTGGAAGTCTTAACTGTCAGTATCTCAGAATGTGACGGTATTGAGAGATAGGGTCCTCTACCTAAAAAAGAGGTAACTAAAGTAAAATGAGGCCATATGCATGGGCCCTGATCCAATGACTGCTGTCCCTATAAGAAATCAGGACACCAGTCCTGCACAGTCATGTGCACACAGAGAAAAGACCATGCAAGGACGTCGGAAGAAGGCCACTGTCTGGAAGCCAAGGAGAGAGGCCGAAGAAGAAACCCTACTGATCTTGGACTTCCAGCCTCCAGAATTGTTGTTTAAGCTTCCCAGTCTGTAGTATTTTGTGATGCCAGCCCTGGCAAACTAACACGTGAGGGTTGGATGTTTAGCACCATCCCTGGCCTCCACCCATTGATACTGGTAGTACCCCTCACCACCCTCCACCTCCAAAAGTGTCTCCACACATTGCCAGCTATCTCCTGGGGGGCAAAATCTTTCTGCCCACCCCACTGGGAACCACTGTTCTAGCTGATCTTTGGCCACCTTTGTATTCCCAGTGTCAGTACAGTGACAGATATATAACTAAGTAGATAACTAAATATTTGCTGAATGAACTCATGTGCCTGCTTTCCCAGTCTTGGGTCTCACCACTCCCTCATAAACTCCTTTTGCTGCAGTTAAAGTAGTAATTACTTCCAGTTTAATTTACAGACTGTGTAATTTGTCATGAAACAAGCAGTTTTCATTTTGACATAATTTCTGACAACTCAGTGACATAAATATAGTCATGTGAGCCCCAATTTTGTTTGACATGCTCACTTACCTCACATCAGTTCTGCTGATGGATTTGGTAAGTGGTGCTTTTAGTTTCCTTAATGCACCATTAAGGATTTCAAGCAAATGAAATTATTATGACAAATTTTTCTATAGTCATTTCTAACACAAGGAACTCATAAAGAAATCAAATGTCTGGACTTCACTGTGAAAACACTAAACTCTCAGCCATAATGAGACTCTGCACATTATCAGAAACCCCAAAGCACATCAAAAAGCCAAGGTCAACAGAGACAGTCTTTGGAATGGGGAGGTCATAAATGTTGAACCTGGCAAATTACAAATTTCTTGTCTTAACATTGCTGCATTTGCTGTCATCTCATTTGAAAGATGATGTGTTTGGGTTGGGTGGTGGCAGAGGGGTGGGAGTTGGGGAATGCTGGCTCTGAAATGCCAGAGAGGCATTATGAACTCCGGAAGCATCTGGCTACTGGTAGACATTTTACACACAGATAGCAATTTCTGACCAATCCATTTCAATGATTTCTAACCCATACTCAGCTATCCAGAGGATCCTGTTTTAAGAACATTATTGTAAACTGATACACTCTATTCATTTACAAAATTCATTCATTGCATATTTTTTTTGTTTAATAGCTTGGATTCAGTGTTACAGATTTGATTGACCCAAGTGAAAAAATACACTAATCATTTTTAAGTGCTATTTCAGAAGAATATGTGCAATGTTTCTAAGTTATTATGACTTTCTGACTGTTGTGGCTTTAAATTATAATACTAATATCTTACTCTGAGAAATGTGTAAGACACAGGTCTAACAAACAACTACATTAACCTCGGGCAACAACCATCATGGAGCTGCTGTACCACAGGCATGGTGGTGGCCTGCATTGGTACTTACACACACCAAGGATGTGAACTGACATCCTGCCTTTCCAAAAACATAAACATTTAACTCAACTGTTTCTTGTAATAAAGAGGTTGAAAGAATCCTTTTGTGAGGTTGGATTCTCCAGGGAAGAGAAGGAGAATGGCCTAAGGACATTCTGAAATTTAGATATCAAACCAAACCATACCAAACCAAACCAAATCCCTCTGCCAAAGTGCCAAAGAGTCTGCCTACTCTGCAAAGCTGGTGCTTGTGTAAAATGTCAGTATTTTTAGATAGAGATGTTTTAGAGGAAGGAGGCAACTGACCAAGTACAGATACTTTGTAATATTTTTCCCCTCTGGAAAAGCAGAAAAGAATGAACATCAGCTAACCATAATATTTAGAATTTAGCATCTTTCCTTGGGCATTTATAAATAGGAAATCTGTCTGTGGCAACCAAAAGTACCTTATTCTAATCACTGCATTTGAAAAGTCAGCAAAAGCCCACACTAATTCCTATTACGCTTGTTTCTTGGTTCAATCTCAGCACTTTCAGCGGCTCTTGTGCGGCGATTCTGTCTTGGACTTATTTCTGTGTCTTGAAGATCGTTTCTGAAGACAGAAAAAAGAAATCGCATCTTAGAAAGTAATGATTATTATTCTACAGCAGTTTCTAGTTTACAAGTGTTTCCACAGGTATTATTTCATTAAAACCTCGAAATAACCCTCTATTCTGTGGATGAATTCATAATTGTTATTATTAGTATTTCCACTTTATGAATTAGTGAATTAGCAAGGATTACAGATAGTCCCTTTTGCTGAATTAAAATTTAGGAGTTTTATGCTTCTGTTTAGCATGTAGAGGACTGGAAAAGAAAAGGTAAACAAAAAGCTGCTCCCATCCTAACAAGAAAAAGCCAGGCAGTCTAACAAAATCTTAACTCTTCTTGATCCTTCAGAGACCTGAGGTTGTAAAGGAACTAAGAAAGCAAAATTCCAAAGAAAAATATGCCCCTCCAAAGATGGGCCACACGTCTCTCACTTTTGGCAGAGTGTTGGAGAACGAGGTGGCTACCATACAAACAGGGAAGAAGAATCAGCTAAGATTTTCCTAATTTCTTAAGTACAGGCTAGTACTGCGGGCCACTGACACAAGGAGAGTCTGCACACACTTGCCAGCTCTTTTCCACGAGCCTCCGTCAGGTGCTCACAAGAAGACTGGGAGCAGGGCAGGAGAATGGAGAGGGGCCACTTCAGTGGCTACTGGGGACAAGAAGAAGTCCTGCCTGCTTTCTTGAATGCTTCTCTCCCATGAAGCATAAGCTTTTCAATTGCTGAGGGAAACATAGGAAACTCACTCTGGGGCTCTGGCAAAGACCCATGGCCTCTGGAGAAGGAACAGAGGTGAAATCAGTCTGTCTCAAGGGGAGGCATATGACCTCATTTGCAGGGACGCAGGCAAAGATTCACTGCGGCAGGGGAAATGTAGAAACTAAAACCTCTACCTTACAGGAGGGGCAGAAAATCATCTCCAGCTGATGACCTTACACTGACACCAAGCAGAGGTTTGGTCAAGGTAGCCTGATACCATGGGAGGAGGCAGAAGTGCTGAGAAAGGCCCATCCCTAAGCTCACAGGGCCTACCTAAGACTCAGGCTGGACTGAGATAACAGTGAACCTTGGCTGTTTCCCACCATGAGCGTAGCACCAAGCAATAAGCAGGAGCAGGAAATGGCTGAGGGAGAGATACGAACATGGTGAAGATATGCCCCTATGGGGTGCAGGCAAGTAAGCATGACGGAAAGGAAAATGGGAGTAAAATCAGTGAGACAAACCCTCTGGCAATCCAGCCCCAACACTAAGCAGAAGTCAAAGCAGACATCTGCTAGAGTAACTTGAAGTGGATGCACTGAAGGTCACATTAGTCACTAGGAAACTCCAACCCAGGTCAACTCTGAATTACCTGGCTCAACTCCCAACACTAATGACCCAATAGAAGGATACCCATTTCTAGGCACAAACACTATTGACCTCAGTCCCTATGGTCCTTCACTGTATGGCCAGCATTCAAAAAGTATGATACACAATAATGCAAGGAAAAAAACCCATTTTGAGATGGAAATTCCTTCAATAGGCTTTAAGTGTAATACATAAAGTTGATAAAAAGACTTAGTGAACTTGAAGATGTCAATAAAAACCATCCAGATTAAGATACAAAGAGAAAAAGGAGTGTGTGAGGGTGTGCACATAGAATAGAGCAGCCAGAGCTGTGAGACAATAAAAATGGCATAATATGTGTGTAACTGGAATGCCTGGAAGAAAGGAGAGAAAGAACTGTGGAAAATAAGTATGTAAATACATATGGCTGTGGATTTTCTAAAAATTTGAAACACATCAAATCAAGATCAAAGTTGGTCAAAGAACCCCAATCATGATAAATACCAAAAATAAACAACCAACCAATAAGATCTCTCCAGGATTTGTTGTTGTTGCTGTTTGCTATTATTGTTTAGTGACGTTTCTAAACCAATCCTATAAATACGTATTCTTCGTTGTGTATGGCAACTAAAAGTGTCTGCTTGATTAGCTTTGTAGTCCACTAATGATTGAACAGTTCCTTAGACCTCTGGAACCAGTATCATTCAGAAACTCTTAGCAAAACCAGTCTTTGCTGAGGGGCTCTGTGTGCATGCTGGGGCATGCAATCAACATTCACTCAACACTCAGTGGACAACTCTGCCTTAGCCTCTACTTCCTGCTTGCACACAGCCTCATGGTTAACCAGGGGTGAAAGCTTAGTGCTTCCTTAGGTCTATCCTAAGTATGCACAGAAGCTCTATGAATGAGAGTGACCCTCTAGATTCCCAGTAATATTTTACAGCTGTTCAAAACCCCCATGGAAATCTTACTTTTCAGCTTTTACTATTAGGCTTTTTGGTTAGCATATCATTTGCCCCAATTGTTATGTACCACCTCAGACAGCTACAAAGCTAGCCAAACATCTCTAACTGCATTCAACAAATACCCTTAGAGAAAAGGCTTTTTGAAGTGAGCAAGCTCCAAGTCAGGTAAAGTAAAGATAGTCTTGGCAAGTAGAGTCTTCCAGGGAACCATTAGATAGGCTAAGTAAAAATTCTCCAGGAATGTGGCTTTAAAGGGGCTCCAACCCTACTCTGCCTTCTCTGCAGGCTGTCAGCCTGCTGGTCCTCACCATGATTGCAGACTGTTGGCTCCCAAGGCCACAGAGGAACTAGAGAGAGAAGGATGAGAACAAAACCAGATGAATCACCACAAAACTCACTGTTCTCACTGAGATTCAGACATTTTCTTGAATAAATGCCCCCTAAAGTGCTGCTGCCTTTGGTTAATGTTCAGAGTTTTCCGAAAAGTTGAATCCGACAATTTTTGCAGTTTTATTGCTGCATTTATGGAGCAGAGAATTTCCACCATTTTTGCTATCACTCTTATCATTTTTACTTTTTTTCATGTTTTAGTTTATGTTCTTAAAAATCTCTCAACTTTCACCATGTCAAATTTTTTATCTTAATGTTTTATTATCATTTACTTATTTGACTTCTGATTATTTTTAAGGCTTAAAATTTAGTGGGATGTTCCTCCTTACTTTTAACTTCTATTTTATTGCTCTTTATTCTCATACCTTGTTTTTAATAATCCTTTAACATTTTTCAGTAATATTTTCTTTCCATGTTTGCCCTCTTTGATTTGCCTTTATGATAGCTGGCAACAGACACAGCTATTGAGGTAGCGGAAGAAGTCATCTATACTTCTTCCACTTCCTTAGGAGGGGAGTTCCTGGCAAGGAGTATTTCAGTGGTACTCCCAGAACACTCTCTAAAACACCTCATCCCCTAAGATGCAAGAATCCTAATAGAATAACCCAACCCATATTTTTTTCCATGCACGTAACGCATTGACTTACTGGAATAACACTTAGTAAGATCTCACAGGTGCAGCAGGTTTTAAAATTCTTGGTCTCCAGCAGGTATTACTAATGAATTTCTTTTAGTAAAATTTGACAATAGCATGTTAGCCAGATGAGAGGATATTCCTGGGGAGGGCCACAGTGAGGCATCTACCGTTAAAGTACTGAATCTATCTACTGTTAAAGTACTGAATCTATTGAATGCAAAAACATGCCTTAGGAGAGCCAGCCATTCATTATTAACCTGCTTCCAATACACATTATTTCCAGGATGACCTACTTTCCTTCTTGGTAGGTCCATAGAAAGAATCTCCTGGTGTGTGGCTCTCCTTGCCTCATGTTGATCATAGAGAGAGTGGTCAGATCAAGGACCACTGTAAACAGGCCTGAATTTCCTTTTATTCATTTTTTTAAACATGAGATTCACTGTTTTCCTGCTGCAAGTACTTTCAATTACAGTAATTGTATCATTTAACAAACATGACAGGCTCATAACTGCATGCAAACAAGTTCTCATGGGTTTAAGATGAAATGTAGACTATTAATAGAGAAAATAATTCTTCCTTTTCTGATTTTATAAGATTAGAGAAAGTTATTTTCTAAAATTTTATTTTAAAGGCACTATGAGATAGACACAAAGAGCAAGGTTTTTAAGTGGTGTTAGCTTAAAAATCAAATTTACAAATTTGGAAAGGAGCCTTTATTTCTCATAAACAATTATAGCCTGTAAGGTGACCACTCCGACAAGGCTGAGAAGTGTTAACTCCGGCAGAGCCCAAAAGACAGGTACTGTAAGGGAGAGGAAGAGGGAAAAGGGATTTATGGTGAATGTGTGGCCCAAACATACATATTCAACAGGTTACAGGAGGAGCTATGATTATTCATAAAGGGGGGTTCTAATGCATGTCCTAATGCATGCATGCATGTTACACACAACCCATGTTCATTCTGGGGTGGAGACTTAATATTTAAATACATTACAATTAGGCCATAGATGTCAAAAGGTCTTTTTAGGACACAAAGGCACCCAACTGCTCAGCCACTATAAAACTGGCCAGAACCAGTCCATGATCAGTGGTCTCTTATCAGAAGAAAGTTACTGAAATCAGTCTCTTGTCAAACCAATGCTATATAGTTATAGCTTGTGGAACAGAGGGTCAGTTAGTCAGCTTCCGGCAGTAGATGTGCTACAATTGTTTTAACATTGTTTATCTCAAGGCCAGTGCTTGTTTAGCTGCTAGAAAAAAAGAAAAGCCTTGTAGCAATTAGAACATAATTACTCTTTAAGTGTAGGGTGATTTACTTAACCCTTGCTTCGCATGGCCTTAGGTCCTGTCTATAATTTGGTATTTTATTGTCACAAAAAAATATGTTCTGTCAGTCCTACGATCTCTATTCTAACATTAATGTTGGCCAGTTGTTATGTCTACACTGCAAAAGGGAGCAGGTATAATAGCCTTAGCTCCTGTCTATAATTTGGTATTTTATTGCCACAAAAAAATATGTTCTGTCAGTCCTATGATCTCTATTCTAACATTAATGTTGGCCAGTTGTTATGTCTACACTGCAAAAGGGAGGAGGTATGATGAAGCATGTCTGATCTCCTGTGCTGTCATGGCCAGGGACTGTTTTTAAGGTTTCTATGGGTCCCCTTGGCCAACAGGGGAGTCTGTTCAGTCAGCTGATGGCTTAAAATTTTATTTTTAGTTTACAGTGGCGATCCTTATTCATTCACAGGTTCTTGAAGCCAAGTAAGAACATAGAATCTACTAGTGAATACATTCAGATCCCATAAACACTGATTGACTGACTGACTGCCAGACACATTCATTCATTCACATATTTATTGAGTGCCTATGCTGGGCTGCCCAGGCATGGTGCTAGGTGCTAGGGATTTAAAATCCAGTGTACTTACTCACTAGAAAGGGTGAGAGTGCTGCTGGAGCAAAATCAGGGGCTTCTGAACAGAGTATGAAGAAAGGAATGTCAATTGCTATCTAGATGAAGAAAGGGGAAAGGGCAATTTGGACAGAAGCAGCAGCATGTACAAAGGCCAGGGGCAGGGCAGCATAACTCATGAGGCAACTGCGAGTGGTTCAGCTTGGCAGCTTGGCTGAAGCCACAGTCGTGGGGTGGGGAAGTGAGGGAATAAAATTCCATGAGCCAGCCAGGTAGGCTGGGGCCAGAACATGAAAAGCCTTGGATGGTGGAGAGCTACTTTAAAGTCTAAGGGGGAAAACACCTGTATGTTACATTTCACTGGCAAAATGAACTAGTAATAGACCGAGGCAGAGAGACAGCTGGACAGCGGTTGCTGCAAGCTGGAAAGTAAAGGACCTGCAGGAGTAAGCAGTGGCACAAAGGGACTGAGACAGTACAGAGGCAGCCCCAGCTATACCTAGGAGCTTGTTAAAATGCCAATCATTAAGCCCCTTCCTAAAGCTACCGAATCAGAATATCTAGGGTTGGAGTTCACTAATCTGTAGTCTAACAAGTCCTCCAGGTGATTTTAAGTCTGAGAACCACTTATCTGTAGGACTTTGCAAGTGACTGCAGGTAAGTGGTAAGGGAGAGTGAGAAGTTTAAAATAATTGCTAGGTTCTGCCTTGAACAGTGGGGAAGACTATGATCCTACCATTCACTGAGAAGAGGGGACACCGGAGGAGGAGCAGATCTGGAGCAAAGGGCTTAGACTCACTGAAGCATATATATTTTACCCACATTTATGTGTAAAGAAACTGAGACCCCAAAATGTGAAGTAACACCAGGACCATTTTCTTCCTCCTTTCATTCTGTTCAATGTAAATATATCTTGTAGCTTGTTGTTGTTGCTTTTTGGTTAGCACATCATTTGCCCCAACTGTCATCTACCACCTCAGACAGCTGCAAAGCTAGTCAAATGCCTCTAATTGCTTTCAACAAACATCTTTAGAAAAAAGGCTTTTCGAAGCCTTTTTTGAGCAAGCTCCAAGTCAGGTAAAGTAAAGATAGTCTTGCAAGTAGAGTCTTCCAGGGAACTATCAGACAGGCTAAGTAAAAATTCTGTGTGTGTGTTTCCTATATATTATGATGTTTTGACATCATAATACAGCCTTTCTAGCTGGGGAGAGACTGCCTCTGCTGGCATCAGGAGAGGCTGGTCAATTCTCAGAGAAAGCAACGGGCCCAGCCAGGAGTATGGCTGTGACATGCAAACTAACCAATCCAGAGTCACACCTCCTCTATCTGGCCCCAACACCCTAAGAGGCAATAGTCCTCTGACTTAATCATGCCAGGGCCAGGTTCTAGGTAACTAGGGACCACTCCTATAGCTTGGAGCCACTGAAATTATTCGAACTAGCCAGGCCTGCACTGTTCACCCCACCCTGCCTTGCCTTTCCTGAGAAAACCCCAATCAGGGACCTAGCCTAAAGCGCTACCCTTGTTCCTGTCTTCTGCCTCCTGACCACGCTAGTGTCTTTCCCTTGTGGACCTGCATGGTATGCCACGTCCTGTCTCTAGGACCTATGAGTATAATGAAACTTGTTTTCCTGAGCCTCTCCTGTGTCTCTTCTTGTGGCCACACCTGACTGATCATCTCATAAAAGAACACAAAATGTAGATATAAGACTCCAAGACCAGTTTGTAGAAAATAAGTTTCCTGCTGCTTACGAAAACACTGCTTTATATGGAGCCATGTGTTGCTAACGAAACCTCTAAATCATTTGTGGAATTAAGAGAATGTGTTGGAACTGATATGGTATGTTCCAGGACTAATATCTCAAATATGCCACTTGTGGTACTACAAAAAAAATGCCTATAAGCTTAAGATGGGCATTTGTAGAACTGTAACATTTTGTTGAAAAGTAAAGCTCTGGAGGCTTTTCCTGATTCTGCTTTTAAAACTACATCACAGCATAAGTTCTTCCTTAGAAGGAACTGAGGCCGTTTATTCTATATTCTGCTGAAATCAGGAGGCCTGGATTCTGATCCTGGTGGTATCACTAACTAGTCCTCCGACCTTGACCAAGGGTCCGTTTACCTCTCTGGAGCCCAGCTTCCTTCTCTATAAAACAAATGGGTGGGGCTAGACAAGCTCTTGTATCTTTCTCGCTTTAAAAAGTGAAATGGTGGAATTTGTTTTCTAAGTGCTTTCTGGTAGTAATGACTTTAAGAAATCATCATTATCAAGAACAGGCTTGGGCTCAGGAACTCTGGGCTCATCATAGTCACTAGTGTCAGGGTTAGTTCAACATGAAGAGGTACAAGAGGAAAGTAGTTAGCTAAGGAGTTGCCTCCTCTTCCAGAGCTCAAAGTTAAATAATGCTTAGGTGAGAGACAGTAATGCAGCCAAAATCTCAAACTTACATAAAATGCTACTGCTTGAACCACCAAATATTTCATAATAAACCCATGTATCCCCTGGATACACCATACTTTTCCACTCTCCTAGTGATTCAGCTACGAAACGACAAAATGTCAACTGCACAGCAAACCTCTCCTCCTTTGGAAAGATAGTAGAGTTTAATAGTTGAGGACGCTGACTTTTGACAATTAGGTTAGAATCTCATCTCCATCACTTATTACTTATTGCTATATGACCTTGGGCTGGAGACTTACCCCTTTTAGCCTCAGTTTCCTCACTGTAAAACAGGGATAACAGTATATAATAGTGCTATATTTAAATGAGATCACACATGTATTTACTATGAGTTAGGCTCATGCTGACAGTGGGGTTAAAATGCCTAACTTATAGACCAGTAGGAGTGATGGGCAAACAAACAATCATACAAATGTGCTGGAAAGAGATGCACACAGTGCCATAAGCACCTACAGTAGGAGGACTGGATCCAGGAAGAACCTGAGCTGGTGAGTAGGGGTGTAAACTAGATGAAAAAATAAAGAACACTCTGGGTAGAGGGACAAGTTCAAAGGCTCTGTGGTGGGAGACAGCTTTTCATGCAAGAGGACCTAAGACGTCTATATGATGAAGCAGAGAGAATATGAATATGAAGTAAATAATAAGAGACGAGTCTGGAGAAAGAGATCCAATCATTTAGCACCTTTTAGGCATATTAAAGAGTCCCTTCTTGAACCTAAAACGAACAAGAGGCCATTCAAGACTTTTAGAGCAGAGGGATGAGTAACAGTGATCAGATTTGCATTTTGAAAAGATGGCTCTAGCTGCATTGTGGAAATTACGTATGTTTTTACTGTACCTTTTCTAGGTTTAGATACACTAACAGGTACCGTTGCATTACAAATGCCTAACTGTAACACGCTGTACAGGTTTGTAGCCTAGGAGCAATATGCTATATACCCTAGAGCCCAGCTGTATGGTGGGCTATACCATCTAGGTAAGTACACTCTGATGTTCCCACAATAATGAAATCACATTTCTCTGGATGTATCCCCATTGTTAAGTGATACATGAGTGTATTAATTGCCCATAGGAACAATTTATCCATACAGAAATAACATCTGATACATAACTACAGTTATATAGGATTCCATTTCTTAGCAGAAATATATAGAAACAAGTAGTAAACCGAAAATCTTTACCTTGCACGTGGATTACTACTCCTTTAAACCAGAAAGCACAAATATCATTTTGTTTGAAAATCAGCTGCATAGAAGTATAATTTCTCAGGTCAAAGTGCATGTTTATTTCATGATTATGAGAACTCACTTATGTGATGCTTCCCAGGCTTCCTCTTCTTCTAAGAGATCTCTTATGATGTCTGAACTGGAACTAAAAGGATATGTACATCAGTATTGACAGACAATAAGAAGACTGTATTGTCCCATTTATATAAAATTCTAGAAAAAACAAATGAGTCTATAGTGAAAGAAAGCAAACAAATGGTTACCAGTGAGAGAAAGGAGGGAGAGTGGGGGTGGGCAAGGAAAGAAAGAGCCAAATGTAGTTTCCATTAGGAGACGGGGAGCAAAGGCCAAAAGCACTGAAGAACACTGAGGCAGATTTTACCAACTTTAGTATTTTCCACTAGCCAGGGAGGCTGAGATTCCCTGCCACCCCTACTTCAACAGAAGTTGTTCTAAACCCTTCTATTCACAAGACCCCAGCTCCTGCTACTCCTTACCTCAGAGAGAACGACTCCAATTTTAAACAAAGCTGAAGCTGTTTTAACCCAACCTTTTCTTACCCTTCTCTCTACTCCAGTGTCATCCATTCTTCTTTACCTGATGTGCTTAAGGTACTGTTTCTCAAGCTTTTAAAACTATCATCTTCCTAAGGAGCCTTTTTACACATTTCCCCCTAACCCCATGACATTTTAATACCACAAATATGATGTCTATTTGTTCATGTGTTCTGTGTGTATGTGTATATGTACGTGTATGTATAAAGCACGGATATGTGTGTGTGTGTGTATGTGTATATATATATGTGAGTGTGTGTGTGTATATATATATATCTGTGTTTTATGCATATACAGAGTAACCTTTTTACCCACTCCCCACCCCCATGAAAAACAAAATTCCACCCTTTGGGGGTGATACTGCTCCTACTGAAAACCCATGAGTTAGGGAAATGGGAGCAGGGGAGGATCATGTAGTTCTGGGGCCTGGCAGGGGTCACAGAGTTGGAGAAAGAGTAAAGTCAGCTTCTTGCCAACACCGCCCCCTTCCCGACCGCCCCATGCTCCACAACACACACAATTGTTTTTAAACAGGAAGGTTATGAAGCATCTCTACTAGTCCAGCTAAGAAAGGAGGATGGCCAAGTCTGTCAACTAACGTAGTAGAGTCTGTGATCAATTTACCTAGGGGTTTTCAAATCATCAGCACAAATCACTGATTTGTTAAAGTAAAATATTTGCAGTACACTAATGACATAAACCTAAGAGGTTTTTGTTATGCTACCTCAGTGAAAACAGATGGTAGAGGTGGTTTACAAAAAACACATCTCAGAAGTTGCCTGCAATCTTCTCTTCCTCTGCGACTTCAATGTCACTGCCCAGCCAGGCTGCACAGCTCCCTGGTGTCTTCACTTCCCATTACCTTTCCTTCTACCCCACCTCAGGCACTCACCTGAATGATAACCAGATCACTAAATGGACTGATACAAAATTTGGGAGATTCAGAATTTTATCTAAAATGAAGTTTCAGGATCATCTGCTATATCTGCTGTTCCAATTCTAGTCACCACTAAAAAATAGAGTTGATGCTAATACAATTAAAATACCAGACAGAACTGCTCATTCCTTTTTAAAGTAATGTACTTATTACTATATCTGCTCAAAAACCACGTTCCTAAAATTAAACATAGTTTCACAAATAGGATTTTACAAAAAGACACTTAGGTATAGCAGTCAGTGTTACTAAAATTATCACTCTCAGATCGCTTCCCTGTGGATAAAAGCAATTAATATTTTTGAAGTCTTAGTCATTTTAATATGCCTTGAAGATCAAAAATTCCTTTAATATTCTTTCAAGACATCTAAAAAATCCTCCAAAGGAGAAAATTAATTACTCATTCTGATATTTCTGGGGTCAGAGCATATACAAGCCTACACAACTACACCTTTGAAGTCTAGAACAAGGAACTTTTTCAGAGTAGGCTTCAGCTTGTCTACTATTTGGTCTTGAAACATTCTGGAAGGCCGTGCTTCCAGAAGCTGGATGAACATAAGGTTTGGTACATGAACGTTACAGCTGCCCTGTGGAAGGGCATTCAAATGGCACTCTCTGATGTCCCCACTGGTCCAGGCTACAGTGGATATTAATATAGAGATTACATATGAGAAAGACTCACTGGCAAAGATTCAAAATTGAATCTTGAATTCGATGGAATTCCAAACCTTGGTCCAGGAAGATGTTAATAGTTTTATTTAGAACACCTGCAATTAATTTTTCACACCTTTTAGTCAGCTTTTAGCCTCATTTTCAGGTCAAAGTTGCAGAAATGTAAGCTAATTCTGTGTGTGTGCATGCACACACACATGCACACCTTGGCCAAGCGGGTTTTCCTGTAATATCTCACTCTTGTCATTCTCTGACTGAAAGTAGCAAAGCTTCTTCAGCAAAGGAAAACACTATCTTCACACATTCCTTTTGTAGCATCTTATTTCATTCTACTAGTAAAGAATTTACTTCTGAAGCTGAAAAGTAAGATGTCAAATACCTCTGGCAAATGTATGACTGATGTTAGAGAAAAAACCCACAGATTTCAGTGTCAGACAAAGTTAAGTTGAGGTCCCATTTCTGTTACTTACCGTGTAATTTTGGGCAAGTTACTTAACTTTCCTCTGTGTCAATATCCTCAAGTATAAAATCAGGATAATGATACAGGTATTCCTTAGGGTTTTTTAAAAGCTTATTCAATATAACACACTAAATGTTTAGCATAGAGCTTGGTACATAGTAAATGTTCAACAAATGTCAGTTCCATTTTCATGAAACAGATTTGGGTCTGAATTATCTGAATAATTGCCTCAGCACCATGTTCCAATTTGCCAGAGAAAACCTGATGATTATGTGCTCTATTTTAATCTTTTATTTCCACTGTTTCTATGACACCAGGGTGCAAATTCATCAGAACCAGCATGGCAGGTACACAGGGTACTGTGGGGTAGGAAAAAACGCAAACATCTGCTATAAAAATCCTGAGGATTAAGGATTACTTACAAGTGGAATTTTTCTATTATCTGGTAGTTACCGCCCCCCTCCCCGCCATTTCTTCCCTTAATTGTGGCATTAATATGAATGCAGTTGAGTATATCCAGTTTAAAACAATAACTCTTTAAGGATAGATCACTGGAGGATCAATGCAGGATGACATGCCGACCAGACAATGGTACTTAAATAAATTCTATCAGCTACTATGAATCTTCTCCTTGAACTCCTATTTTTAGTAATCTGTTCTGTAAGATGAACAATAGTTTATAAGCCAAATATTTTAGCAGTTGGCTGACAACATATTAGAATAGTAAAGTTCCAGTTTCCAAAAAAACTCATTCAATTATGACAATGACAAAAATTATCATGTTCTGAGCAACTACCTCTACAAGCCACAGTGATAATTACTTTGTACACATTAGCTTTTTTTTTTTTTTTTTTGAGACAGGGTGTTGCTCTGTCACTCAGGCTGGAGTGTAGTGGTACAATCACAGCTCACTGTAGCCTCAACCTCCTGGGCTCAAGGAATCCTCCCACCACAGTCTCCTGAGTAGTTACAGGTACATACCACCATGTCTGGCTAATTTTTAAATATTTTGTAGAGATGGCATCTCCCTGTGTTGCCCAGGCTGGTTTCAAACTCCTAGGCTCAAGTGATCCTCCCACCTTGCTTGGCCTCTCAAAGTGCTGGGATTACAGGTGTTGAGCCACCACGTCCAGCCTTCACATTAGCTTTAATTCACAGAAGCACCCTAAGTTTTCTCCCCATTTGACAAAGGCTGAGAGAAATTAAAGTAGAAAAACAGGAATGGGAATGCAAAAGTCATCTTCTTTTGCCACACTGTGCTGCTTCAACAGTGGTAGCAGAAAAATCAAATGCTATTGATTTTACCAGAGTTAAGAATACCCTCTCCTGCCTATTTATCAATAAGGTGTTTGTCACACGACCATCAACAAAGTTCTAGAAGAAACAAGGCTAAGAGTTTCACTGCTCTCCACTAGAACTAAAAAAAGATAAAATGAAGAGAGCTCCAGATAAGAGAAAATAATAAAAATAACTTAATACATGCAAAATCCTTAATAAGAGATGAAACCAAGCAACAATAAGTTTATGTTCTATTTACAAAGCATTCACAATATATGATCATCTAATTTGCTTTGTAGACTCATCCAGGGAAGTTAGAGGGACAAACAAACAATAAAAGCTATTCCATTTTATCAATGAGGAAAGTGAAACTCTGGGAGATTAATTTAAAATCCCACGTGCCAGACACCTTTCCAGAGTCATAAAGCCAATGGCTGAGCTATCCTCCCACAATGAAACAAAGAAGACTGACTGCTAGGTACATGGATCTCAAGGAGTCATACACATTTCAAGGACTTGATGTTACAGTATCATGGACTAAGATACATTCCCCTAAAACAAAAGTTTCATTCATCCAAAAGATGGTCTGTCTCATGCACCACACCCAGTTTAAGCTCTTTCTTTTTTTTTTTTTTTTTGAGATGGAGTCTCGCTCTGTTGCCCAGGCTGGAGTAGAGTGACGCAGTATTGGCTCACAGCAACCTCCGCCTCCCAGGTTCAAGCAATTCTGCTGCCTCAGCATCCTGAGTAGCTGGGATTACAGGCACATGCCACCGTGCCTGGCTAATTTTTGAATTTTTAGTAAAGGCCGGGTTTCACCATGTTGGCCAGGCTGGTCTTCCTGACTTCAGGTGATCCACCTGCCTCGGCCTCCCAAAGTGCTAGGACTACAGGTGTGAGCCACTGTGTCCGGCCTAAGCTCTTTGAAAAATGCAAAAGATACTGAAGAACGATTTCATGTTCCCACATTTTCTCTAGAAACTTTCAACAAAAAACAACTCACTACCTGAAACAGAATGAACCATTTAGCTTTCAGGGTATTCTAAAGTTCATAAATATTCCCACAAAAAAGATACACACAGTAATGTGTATAATAAAATACACACAGTAATGAGTTTTAGTAGAAAAAGATTTTGTGGCAACATTAAATTCATTGAATGTCACATTTAACAGTTATAAAATGAAATATAATGTCAACCTTCCAATAGCAATTATGAAGATTTTAAAAAATACAAAGCCATCATTGA